AGTGGAGGTGGTCCTCCCAGGCCTTCTCCGCCGCCTCCTTCTGCGAGATTACCTCCTCGCAGAAGGTTGCGACCGCGGTAAAAACATTGTCGCTATCGGCCATGGAGCGAACTACGGCCGAGTCCTCACTGCAGTCGCAGTGGTGGCAGGCGGGACTCGATTCCCTCCTAGCGACCGAGTACAGGTACTTTCCGAAGCAACCGTGCCCGGAAAGCACCTGCGTCAGCCGGAAGGTAAGGGTCCCGTGCTGCCGCCCTGCCCACTCGGCGATGACCGGCTGAAGAGTCTCCAGCCGGAACGACCATCTCACCATGGGGGCTCGGCGAGCGGCTTCGCGCCACTCGCGCACGTCTTCGGGCGGAGGGCGAAATCCGCTCTCCGCCCGGAAGTCAGCCACTCGCCGATAAACTTCGGCGAGCACTTCCGCCTCCAAATCCCACGGGGGTGTTCCGGCCAAGGCGCAAGCCGCCTCGGTGGACACCGTGCGGTATCCGCGTATGGCTCTGACCGCCAATATCCTCTGGGGGCGCCAGAGGCGCGCCCTATTCGGGGCGGTCAGAGCCGCCAACCACACCGGTGCACCATACAGCGCCATGGACCGGACAACCCCCGCGTACAGCCGCCTCGTGGGAACACTGGCCCCGCCCAAATTGGGCAAAAGTCGCCCTAGGGCGGAGGCAGTGTCCACCAGCTTCGGACACAGCTGTCGGAAGTGCTCGTCGAAAAGCTCCATTGAGGCGCCGGCGGGTGGACCACGACGGGGCCCATGGAATAATAGGGCCTCCGTCTTATCCAGGGCCACCCGTAATCCCAACGCCTCAATGCGCCCGACCACCTGGAAAACTCCCGTGGCGGCCAGGCGCCGCCGCCTCCTGGAAGTTAACCCCCCGGGCCGTGACTAAAGTGTCATCCGAGTAGCAGGTTACACCCAGCCCGGGGGGGAGACGCCCTCATAGGGCCCAGTCGTTTCCAATGTTCCACAGGAGCGGTTCTAGGACAGACCCCTGCGACATGGCCCTGTTGACCGCAGCGGAAGCATAAACCGCTGCAGTCAAAGCAGCTCTCGCACTTGGTGCGAGTGTGTAACGCGCGGGGCCCCGCTCGGGGAGGTTCGCCCGGAAGCGGGCGAACTGAGCGCTCAGCTCGTTCACCTGCTCGGTCAGCCTGTCATTTGCCATCTGTAGGCGTGACACATCGCCTACTAGGCCCTCCACGACCTCCGACATAGCGGAGGAGGAGTCCTTAAGGGCCCTCACAAAAGAGCCCTTAAGGTTTAACGACTTGGTGGCTACCTTCTGGATAATAGCCACCGCCGCTCTCGCCCTCTCCTGCACAGACACGGGAGCCCGGGGGGCATCTCCCTCCATCGGCTCCCTAACTTTTAACAGGAGATCAGCGATCTCCTCCTCCGCTACGGCTTCCCCGTCCGCTTGTACTAATGCTTGTATTGCTCGTTCTAATATATTTACTGTTAAGTAAGTTTCCTGACATTACACGCCCTTCAGGTACACCCACACTTGTGAAACATAACACAGTACACCACATCAGGACTACACCTGGTCCTCCTATATCATGTACTCCCGCAGACTGGCACCAGATAAACTAAAAATTGCCAGACAGGAATTTCAGCTTATGTTGGACAATGGGACGGCCCGTCCTTCTGAAAGTCCCTGGGCCTCACCCCTACACCTAAGAAGGATAATGGCTGGCGCCCTTGTGGCGATTACCGTATGCTCAACGCACGGACCATTCCAGACCGATTAGGCACATCCACGATTTTTCCCACTCTATTTCTGGTTGTACAATATTTTCTAACATCGATTTAACAAAAGCTTTTAACCAGATACCACTTCATGAAGCTGATATTCCTAAAACAGCCATAACCACACCTATTGGCCTGTTCGAATTTCCTTTCATGAGTTTTAGTTTGCGCAATGCTGGACAAACTTTCCAGAGGTTTGTAGATGAAATGACTAGAGGTTTAGATTTTTGCTACCCATTCTTAGACGATTATTTAGTCTTCTCTAAAAATGCGGTAGACCACGAAGCTCACCTTCATCACAATCTTCATCACCTGTTAAATATGTATGTTAGCGCGCCCTTCCCCGCGCACTCCGCGGTGCCGCCGCCGGCCGTTGTATTGTTTTTCTTGAATAAACCAGTGCATAGCGAACCGGCGATCGTATCACTTGCCCTTGCTCTTGTGTCTGTATAGATAACTAACAGTGGCGACGAATTACCCGCGATTATTAAAAAGTGCATCGTAAAATGTCGAATCGCAGTGTGCAATTTGGTATTTTAAATACGTTTGACCACAATATACAGACGTGGAAAACGTATAAAGGTAGAATTCTGCAATATTTCATTGCAAATGATATCAACGGGCAGACAGATTCCACGGGCATGAAAAGAAAGGCGATCCTTCTCAGTGCACTCACTGAGGGTACTTATAAGCTCACAACAGTTGTTGTGAGCTTTGTTGTTGATGTTGTTGTTGATGTTCCTTATGAAGACCTGCTATCGCTCCTGGATAGCCACTTCACGCTGAAGTGTGTCGGGTTTGGGGAACGGCACAATTTTTACGCAGCCGTCCAGCAGGTGGGAGAAACTCACTCCCAGTGGGCGGCCAGATGATTGCGAGGACTGTTGGAAAGGTGTGGATTCCTCAACGTCGAGGAGGCGCTCCGAGACCGGTTTATTATGGGGTTGCGGCCGGGGCGAGTAAAAGAAAAGCTGTATACGCAAGACTTGTCGGACCTCACCCTGGCCCGAGTCGTGAAGATGGCGGAGAACTTTAGCGTCGCGCGCGCGGCCATCGCAGCCAGCGAAGGCGCGGCTGCGCGGTCATCCGCGCCTGACCTTCAGCTTTTCAAGACTTCAAATAACGGTCGAAGAGTAGTGAAAACCAAGTATAGTGTTTGTTGATATACAAATCACAAATCGGCGGAATGTCGATTCGCTAATTATACTTGTAAAAAGTGTCACGTTAAAGGCCATTTACGTAAAATGTGTACGAAAATGAATTACGTATATGTGATTAGCTGTGGTAGCGAGGCTGATGATGACGGTAAGATTTTTGTTATCCGATCTATTAGGGGGGAACCCATGGTAGAAACAGCTGTTGTCAATAATATTTCATGTAAATTTGAATTAGACAGCGGGTCTGCGGTGAGTGTAATTTCAGAGAACTTTTATAACACTAATTTTAAAAATGTGCCATTATCGGTTGCAGAACGCAGGCTTAACACTACAAAAGGAAAAATGTACCTTCTTTCAGGACGAAGTCAGTTATCTAGGTTATATTATTACAAAAGATGGGCTGAAAAAATTAAGGCTATGGTAGAAGCGCCTACTCCCACAAACGTTAGGCAGCTGCAGTCATTTTTAGGTTTAATTAATTATTATAGAAGTTTTGTACCAAACGCATCTTGTATACTTAGTCCGCTTTACGAACTACTGAGAAAAGGTACTAAATGGAACTGGAATCATATTCACGATTCGGCTTTTAAGTCAATTAAAAAGTTAATGACGTCCAATCCGGTTCTCGCACATTTCGATCTTAAGGCAAAAATAATATTAACCGTAGATGCTTCCCCAAGCGGTTTGGGGGCAGTCCTTTCACAGGAGGGCTAGACGGCATTGAAAAGCCCGTTTCATTTGTGTCGCGAACGCTGAACTCCGCGGAGAAGCGATATGCTCAGATTCAAAGGGAAGCAACGGCTATTATCTACGGGGTGCGTCGGTTTCATCAATTTTTATATGGTAGGTGTGAACCGTTTATTTTAAGAACGAATTACAAACCACTACTATCAATTTTTGGGCCCTATAAGGGAATACCAGAAATGTCAGCAAATAGGCTTCAACGGTATGCGTTGTTACTTAGTAGTTATAACTATACGATAGAGTATGTGCGTAGCAATAATAATAGTGCCAATTATCTGTCGCGCGCAAGTCTACCGCGCACTGTTCATGAGTGCGCGTGCACCGAACAGTGCCAGTGTTGCGACTGCGAGGTATCGTATGATCGGGCCACATATGTTTGTTTTCTTGCGGATGGTGGTATGCCCGTGACAATATATAGGTTACGTAAGGAGACGCGTGATGACGACGTTTTAAAATTAGTAATTAATTTTATTTTGAAGGGAATGGCCACCAAAACTTAATGACATACGTTTAAAACCTTATCACTTGTGTAGATCTCAATTATCAAATGAGAATGGTTGCGTAATGAGAGGTCATAAAATCGTAATACCCAAGAACCTATACAAAATTGTTTTAGAAGAATTGCATTCTTCACACTTAGGTATTGTCAAAACTAAAGCTGAAGCTCGATCAAGATTATGGTTTTCAGGCATCGATCAAGCTATAGAAACAATGATAGGGTCGTGCGATACATGTATACAACTACGGCCTTCACCTCCACGCGCCCCTTAGCTCATTGGAAATTACCTAAGCGTCCGTTTTACAGAATACATGTAGATTTCTTGGGACCGATTGGGGGGTCTGTTTATTTAGTTATAGTAGACGCATATAGTAAGTGGGTCGAAGTATACAATATGAATACTGCTACTTCTTCCACTGCGCTGGTTGGGAAGTTGTATGATTTTATGTCAAGGTTTGGTATCCCAGAGACTATAGTAAGTGATAATGGCACAGCGTTTTGTTCGCGAGAGTTTCAATCATTTTGCACTTCCAATGGGATTTGTCACTTGACATCACCCGTGTATCACCTGGCAAGTAATGGCCAGGCAGAGAGTTTTGTAAAGGTGGTAAAAAAGGGAATAAAAATATGTTTGTTGTCAGGTAATAATCCAACCAAGATGTCTATTTCATTGTTAAAATATCTAATGGATTACCGTAACTCGGTTCATTCTGCTACGGGGTTGTCCCCTGCTCAAGTAGTATTTGCGTACAAATTAAGGTCACGTATAGATTTGATCGATCCAAAGTCATCAGCAGCCTTGTCACCGACGGTAACAAATTTCGGTTGTAATCAACAGTACTCGCAAACTGAGGAACAAGGAAAAAATAAATCAAAGTGTTTTAGTAAAAATGATACAGTGCTATATAAAAGGTTTATTACGAAAGCTAAATACACTTGGTGTAAGGGAACGATACTTGCCAGCTTAGGAAGGGTTGTATATTTGGTTAAAGATTTGAACACCCTAGAGAATTGTAAAAGACACATAAATCAGCTGGTGCCTTATAAAGGGTATAATGACCATCCTCAAAGTTATCCTCAGTATAGAACGCAAAGCCCAGCTGTAAACCAACATATACCATCTCCGTCACCGTTGCAGACTACGATTAGAAGTTCACCGGGTGCTTCAAGGGTGCCTATTCTGCTTTCATCGTCACCAAATGTGGGTGGGCGCAATTTACCTAGAAGGACAGTCGAACTTGACGAACCTAATACGAGTACGATGACATCACCATCTAGGGAAGAGGAGGATATAGAGGATCCTCTTACTACAGCAGGAGAGCAGCAAGCTTGTCTCAGGAATTCGGCAGGAGTTACTGGAGAGAGAGAAGATAACTCTGAGGATGAGCCAACAGAATTGGAAACGGTACCTGTGGCACCGAGTGAGACTCCGATACAAAGTTCACCATCGAGTCCGATACAAGTACCAAGGAGGTCATTACGGAAACGTCCAAAAGTTTGTTATAAAAAATACTTTTAGGTATTGTGTGTTATTGAATTAGTTAAATACTGTAATAAGGGGAGGAATGTTAAATATGTATGTTAGCGCGCCCTTCCCCGCGTACGCTGCGGTGCCGCCGCCGGCCGTTGTTTTGTTTTTCTTGAATAAACCAGTGCATAGCGAACTGGCGATCGTATCACTTGCCCTTGCCCTTGTGTCTGTATAGATATCTAACAATCAGCGCTACAGCCGAATGAAGGAATACGGTGTCCTAGATTACACTTCCAAATGCGTCTTCGGCGTTAGCGAAGTAACCTTTTTAGGATACCATATTTCAGCAGCTGGCACTAAACCTTTAGAGTCCAAGCAGGGGCGTGCGCTCCTTGTAGGCAGAAATGCAGTGCTTTACTTGCTATTCACAGACATTTTAATAAAACGTTGGTACGTTGTAGATGACTTTAATTAATAGTAAATAAATGAAAAAACAAAATATAATAACTTAAAAACGCCTACTATTTACAAATAGCACCACACAAACATTGTTTGCCAGATGTTTACCGAAAAGCAAGCGCAAAGCAACTCATGCCGTCGCCTCGCACAGGACATTTGTTCGCATGTGTGTAGTAATTTTGGTGTCCGTGCACAGTTCGCAAACGCACACACCCATTTATTTTATATCCCCGACTACAGCCGCAGGATACTGCAGTTGGCCCTTCGGGTCCCGCGCTAATCGTTGTCGTGAGTACTCGGGTGTAATCGGAAGTGTTCGTTGCCTATAAATCCACCCAATTACAATAGTCAGAAATATAATAAATCATGTATCGGATTATGAATTATGAATCATCATCAATCATTAGCAGATATGTTTCTTGTTCGCGGGGGCCATTTTGATTTTTTTATGTGATAAGCATTGTTTACTAATTTCTATCCGCCAGTATAATTATAGTTTTATTTGTACATTTAACAGTTTATTACTGAGTTCCGTTGGTTTTAAAAAAATGTTATTTGATTGTGAGTTATGTGTGGATAATGTATGTCTATTAAAAATTAAAAATAACATGTTCTCACAATTGCCATTCAGTGAAAAGATTAAAATTGTGTCTAAAGGTAGGTGTGTACCCGAGTTACTCGTACAACAATTAAACCAGCAAAAAGGAAATGTAACTCGCAAGTTTCATGTTAAAAGTTATGAAACGTATAACTGGCTGTGTGGTTGTGTACACACGATTAAATTATATTGTTTTCCTTGCATATTGCTTAGTAATTCTAGTACAGTGTGGACTGATTCGGGATATTCAGATTTAAATAATTTCTATTCCGCAGCAAAGAAGCATGACCATACAGAAAAACATCTGGAGGCCTGCTTAAAATTAAATACTTTTGGTAAATGTCGTATTGAAATGAGTATCAACAGTCAGTTACGATTAGATATTGAGAGGCATAATGCTAAAGTCGATCGCAATAGAAACATTTTTCAAAGGCTGATCGATGTTGTTTGCTTTCTGGGAAAACAAGAATTAGCTTTTCGCGGTCACGATGAGTCAGTATCGTCGGTGAATAGGGGTAATTATTTAGAAATAGTAGATTTATTAGCCAAGTATGATGGAGTTTTAGAAACCCATTTACAGAGTGCAAGTACCTCATTCAATAGAATGTCGAACCGTACACAGAATGATTTGATCTCGAGCGTTGCATCTGTGATGATCGATCGCGTTAAAGCCGAAATTAAACAGTCCGATTTTGTCGCCGTCATGGTAGATGAGACTCCTGATGTTAGCGGCCGTGAACAATTAGTATTAGTTTTGAGATATTTTTGTGATTCTGAAGTAGTAGATCGATTTATTAAATATGTTGATGTCAGCGCGGATCGGACCGCTGTAACCTTGAGTTCTATAATTTTGGAAATTTTAGAAGAGTTCGATTGTGTATCCAAATTAGTTGCACAAACTTACGATGGGGCAGCAGTTTTATCCTCACAAATTAATGGCGTGCAGGCTTTGGTGAGACAAAAATGTCCACAAGCTATGTACGTTTGGTGTTCAGCACATATATTAAATTTAGTTTTATCGAAATCGTTCGAACGAGTTGCTGAAACAAAACGCTTTTTTGGTATTATAAAATCAATCGCGGCTTTTTTTCACACCAGTACAAAGCGAATGACCCATTACAACAACTTTGCCGATATGAAAAAGCTGCCTCGTGTCGCGGAAACGAGGTGGACATATCACTCGCGCACGGTTAATGTAATTAATAATGCGTCCACCCACCTCCTACTATTGTTTGAATGGGATGGTGAAACACTGACACAGGTCAGTTCATTTTTATTTATTATAAAGGAATTTGAATTTAATTTTCTTTTAAAATCTTTCGCAGATATTTTTGCAGAAACGGATATTCTGTACGATATTTTGCAAAAAAAAACTAGTGACATCGCGTATTGTCTAACAAAGATAAAAGAGTTAGAGTCATTTTTAAAACGTTTCAGAGAGAAGTTCGAGATCTATTATGATGCTGCCGTTCACATTACCGGACCACCTAAAAGAAAGCGCAATGTCGATGATGTAAAAATACATCATCGGCGAATTTTTGTTGAAATAATTGATAATGTAGTCAATGAATTAAGAAATCGCTATAAAAACATTAAATATTTAAAGTTTATTGAGCTACTTTCTTGTGAGAATTTCAAAAAATATAGTGAACGTTTCCCTGAAAATGAAATCAGAGAGTTCACTAATAAATTATCAGGCAAATTTTAATTTTGATAAATTGAAAAATGAATTGCGCTGTATTTATAGATCACCTCAATTTGCAAATAGTTGTGTATTTAGTATTATTCAAAATTTGTATAAGGACAATTTAAATAAAGTTTTTTCTGAAGTGTTACGATTAGCGAAATTCATTGTGACTATCCCAGCAAGCAGCGCATCGGCAGAACATTCATTTTTGTGTTTAAAACGTATCCATACATATTTGAGAAACACACAAAATCAACAACGACTCACCGAGCTTTCCATGATTTCTATAGAAAAGGCATTAATGATAGAATTAAAACGCAATCCAACTTTCTATGACGATATCCTAAAATCATATTTAAAAAAGGATAGGCGCATAGATTTAATCTATAAATGAATGAGTAGTTTGTTTTTTTTACTAACCCGTAGTTTTATTATTAAGTTTATTTATATATTTTGCGAATCACATGAAAATCGGCCCTTTTAAAGGCCACATCGGATATCTTGCCCTTGCAACGTGTTCTGTAACTATCACTCACTTGGAAAAGATATTGGAGGTGGCCGAAATCTTTTATTTACATCGGGATATATTAATCTCCAGTAACCGGAACCCTGAATATGTGAAAATCAGAAAATTGAAGATAACCAGGTGAGTAGTTATAATATTTTAGAATTTCTTATTAGAATTTCTTCCGCCGCGACATCTATCGCTGTTTTGTCTGCATTCCCGTTGAAGATGTACATGAATAGTAGTACATCTAAGACTTGTGCTAAAAATCTATAAAAGAAAAAGTGACCGACTACTCCGCCGCATACCTAGTGTCATAATCCTGTGCACGCCGCTGAGTCCGAGGTCCAGGCTATTAAGGACTTCCCTCTGCCCAAAACCGTCCGACAACTAAGACGATTTTTAGGGATGCTCAATTTTTACAGGCGTTTCGTGCCTCACTTCGCTGCAGTTCCGGCCCCTTTAAATGCTCTCCTCGCTGGTTCTGTTAAAGGGTGTGAAACCGGGTGGGAGCGGTTGATATCTCCGGCTAGGCCTTGTTAGCCTTTAACCAATGCAAGGAAAGCCCCTCTAACGCCGCATTACTGGCTCACCCTAATTGTCAAGCAGAACTAGCGTTAGTAACAGACGCATCTGACCTGGCAATGGGTGCAGTTCTACAGCAATTTGTAGACGGAATATGGGAGCCTTTAGCATTTTTCTCTCAGCAAAAATATTCACCGTACGACCTTTTTGCCATTTACGAAAGCATCAAATACTTCCGCCACATGTTGGAAGCAAGGCATTTCGTAATATACACTGACCACAAGCCGCTTAGTTTTGCTTTCAGAGAAAGGAAAGCCAATTGCTCGCCTCGACAGTTCCGCCATCTCGACTACATTTCGCAGTTTACCACAGATATCAGGCATATTTCTGGTAAAGACAACGTCGTCGCCGACCCACTGTCTCGTGTCGCCGAACTGCAGATACCAGTCGATTTGGATGTCTTGGCTTCATCCCAAGCTGCTGATCAAGAGCTGAATAAGCTTTTAGGTGAAGAATCTTCACTTCGTCTGGTGAGAATGAGGATCCCTGACTCTCAATCACAACTATACTGTTACGTCAGTACTCCCTCACATAGACCCTTTGTCCCTAAACCACTGAGAAGACAAGTCTTGGACAGTATAGTCATAGTCTTAGCCACCCAGGCGCCAACGCAACTGCTAAACTAAACTGGTGTCGCGAGTGGTCACGTCAATGTCACGCATGTCAACGCGCCAAGGTACATCGTCATGTGTCCTCATCGTTAGGGTCATTCGATTTACCTCGCGTGCGATTTTCATTTATTCACGTTGACATAGTTGGTCCGTTACCCATCTCCCAAGGGTACCGCTACTGTTTACAGCTGTAGACCGCTATACACGCTGGCCAGAGGTTGTGCCAATGGTGGATATGACTGCCAAGACGGTTGGAAAGGCGTTAATATCATGGATATCCAGGTAAGGATGTCCAACAGATATTGTCACCGACCGCGGCCGACAGTTTGAATCATCACTTTTCCTATATTTGGGAAAAATGATTGGATTCAAACACCGTAGAACCACGGCATACCACCCTTCTAGCATCGGCTTAGTCGAGCGTTTCCATCGGCAGCTTAAATCAGTCATTATGTGCCACACGGACAACAACTGGGTAGACATATTACCCCTGGTATTCTTGAGCATAAGAAGTTCTTTTAAAAACGACTTAAGGACATCTTCAGCCGAATTGGTGTACGGTGAACCGTTGCGTCTACTTGGTGAGTTTTTCCAGGGAACGGT